TCAATATCCTGTCAAGCGCAACAAGGCAAATTTTCACAGGCTCTTAGCACTTTACAGTGGGTAAGCAAATAATAATTTGGCCTACTAGTAAACTATACGTTTTACAATAAATGATTTACCAACTTTTTATTATAAAATATAACTTGAAAGGTGTTAAAATAATATAATTTTGTATTCATCTGCAACGTGTCTCAATGTCCACTGTGCGGCGATAGTTCAATGAAGAAATTCCCCCGATTACTCGAACCCCGAAGAAAAACCGAGAGGCATGCAACGAAGCATGCGAAAATTTGGCTAATACGGAATGCAGGCTAAGAAATTCAAAGTGCATAGATTAAAGCGCAATGAAATCGGGCAAGGGCAATGTGAAAACGCCCCGCTGGAAACTAAAGAGATCCCTAACCCCATCACCCCAACCCGGCAACCCGAAAAACCCCATCTTGCACCTCTGGAAAGAGGAAAGCAAACTTAATGCAATCAAGCTTAATGCAGCGCAACGGCTGCCAGACGTCGTCTCAGCGGGGAAATCGCGGGGCAGGGTGGCAGGGTGGTGGTGGTGGGGAAAACTGAGGCAAAGTGAATCCTTTGGGTATACCTGCGGTGAATTTTTAAGCAATTTACATAATAATTATCGAGCCAGCGCTGAAGAAGACGGAGGAAAACCAAGCCAAATAGGGTTTCCGCCTGCAATTATCGAACAAAACTTTGGGCCAAACTCGAGGCTGGGCTTTGTCTGTGGCTCGCCTGGCCATAAATTGAAATTGAATATTCAATGTCTAAGGGACGGGACTTAAAGACTTCCAATATCATTAAACTATTCCTCGAATTCGAAAAAAAAAACAATTTATATAATTTAAGAGTAAATGAAATAGATATTTCTAATTTATTTTGTATTTTTCTCTTGGGGTTATCCGTTCTTAAGTGGGTTTCCCAATTAATTTTCTTTCAAGGGAATCAATTTCAAGCGACAAGTTCGACCATTTGACATATAGCTAAGTAGTCCAGACTAAGTTCGAGAGATTTAGCTGCAGCGCGAAGAAATAAAACTTTAAGTCAATCAGGGAAAACAATTTTTGAAAAGTGCTCGCAACAAATCCGAGCGCAGCGAAGGATTTTGAAAAATATTTGACATTTACATTGTGCGAGGCGCGGGGAAAGGACACCGATGATGGGGAATGGGGAGTGGCTGGGAAAAGGAGCAGCAAAGGAAAAGCGGGAGGACGTTGAGCGCTTGTTTAACTTAAATTGCTTCGCTCTGGCGTTGGAGAGATGGCGAAACAAAAGCCAACAACTGCAACTTTGCTCAATGCGCTTCCGTTTCCGCTTCCCAGTTTTCCCCCATTTTCCCGACCGTTTTCCCCAACGCCAGCGCCAGCGCCAGCGCTCTGCGTGCAACTCCTTGGCTCAGCCAAAGTTTGGCATTGTTGTCTTTGGCTGTTGCTTGTGGCAATCACTTTCATTTCGTTTTCCCCCAGAAAAACCGCCAAACACTTCCGCTCATCGCACTCCTCTCGCTCCTTTTGGCCATCTCTTTGTGGCAAAGTTTAAGTATAAAATTTAGTTTCTTTGGCTTGGAAAATGCATTTTCCAGCGTCAGCTTGATTTACCCCGTGGAATTGCATACGTTTTTTGATTGAGCAATTAGGGCCACACCGGCGGTGGTCGGGGTTCTGCGCTCTGATTGCTTTTCAAATTTCATTTAAAGTGTCAGACACACCAGCAACTATTCCATTTTCATAATTTGACAGCCATTGCGGGACAGTTTTGGCTTTGTATCTCGATTATGTCAGTTATGGAGTTGCAGGTGGTTGTGGTGCGAAAGGCTGGCGGGGGTTTTCCCCGGTGGTTCGCTCCACCTGTCCGAATGTCCTGCACAATGGACAACAGCAGGGACCACAGTCATGATTAGTGGTCGTCATGACTTCTGTCCGACTGATATCCAAAAGCTGACTCGGTGGGAAAATATGGAATGGCAAAACATTTTCGGACATGGCAATGGAAATTGGTGACTCTACGTTTGAAATATTTGGTGGCATGGCGACACAGATTTTGTGTCCAAACAAAATCATTTATTTAAAGGAAAATCACGCAGTTCTACCACAGAAATTAATTGACTTTATATACTTCCGTTTTATCGAAGAGAAAAATGATAATAAAATGGTTGAGCATCCGAAAGTTTCACCTGTCCCACCGATAAGTTAATTTAAAAAGACCCCATGCCAACCGATGACATTTAAAGCCAAGCGTTTAATTGCAAGTGCCAATCGGCAGTTTTCCCGATCAGCAGGACCTCGCTTTTCCCCCGCTCCCACAGCAATTTTGCCACTTTGGCTTATCACACGATGGCGTTGTCCTTGTCCTCCTGCCACTGTGCTAACCGCAGGGAGGAAAATGAAAATAAAGCGTAAGCGTAAAACAAACAAAATGCAACTTGCAATGAAAATGAAACCGCAAAAGAGGGGGAAAAGAAAAAACGTAAGCCATTTACTCGTTAACTGTTAATTCTCAGTCAGGAAAAACTTTTGGGGGAGCGAAAAAGAGCACGGTGAAGGTTGGAAAAATAAATTTTGTATTATTTTTTAAAATACTGATAGGCTAAAAAATAAATATGCAGGGAAATTTGGTTGACTTTGGTAATAAACTTTAAATCTTAGTATATAAGCCCCATGACATTTTTAACGAAAGGTTACTGTAGCTGCAAAGTTGGTAAGACAAGCTAGAATAATAAAAGTGGGGTCGCCAAACGTGCCGGAGTTTGGCTAATAACAAAGCGACAGTGCCGACACAACACATTTGCACATAAAATTAGATTTAATTTCGAAAACAACGAAAAAATGTCTCTTTTTTTGCTCGGCAAAGAAAAGAACAACTAAAATGGCATTAGCGAAAAGGAGAACTCGACATACGAAACGAAGTCAACACGCAGGAGCAACAAAAAGCGAGAAAAATGTGACAACCAACAGACAAAGCGTCGTAAAGATGCCAAAAAAAACATACAGGAAATGGAGTCACGTGTCCTTTACGTTTAAATTACTCCACTGGGAACGCTCACACTCACATATGCATACACACATGCACGCGCGAATGCAAGTGAAGTCTTATATACGGTCCTTCGAAATACATTTATCCGAACGAGGCTCCTAAGTAGGGCTTTCAAATGTCGCAAAAATTAGACTAATGAAAGCCAGACATTTCGAAATTCAAATCTTTCGCGGGCTTTTTACACAGTGATGCACACTTTTGGGCGGCTAGAGTTTAGCAACACTGTTAATGTGGCCTTACAGCAAACTGATAACATTTTCATGCTAGTTAACAGTGCAAGTATTAACTATGAAACAGACTTAAAGTAAAAGTAAACTAACAAAATATTGGGTTTAGTTCACTTACCTCCCAAAACAATTCTTATTATTTGGATTGAATTTATTAAATATTTCAATTAAGTTTGTGAATTAATTACATACATCGTATGAAAACATCATTTCTCATGGTTATTGTTTTTAGCTTTATGGAGATTTCCTGCCATATATTGCCAGGCTGACCACAACGGAAAACCCTCATATAAACCCGTCATATTCGCGCCAAGAAATGGGGATACCAATTCATAACGGTCAAACAAAAGAGGCCCAGCAAAGTACAACCAACTTTAACGACTTTTAAATGCCCTGACAACTTACATCTAATCTAGTGTTATACTTTTCCAATTAAAGTTACCTTTCCTGATTGCCCTGCAGTTTCAATGTCTCTATTCAAATTTAACGGGGAACATGTTAATTCCCTGTGGTTTAATTGACGTCAATTGCCATTCAAAAGAGATTTCTATAGCCCCTGGGCACCTTCGATTGCATGTGGAGCTGCCGTCTTTTCTTGCATGGCTTTTCTTCGTTTGCGGGTATCAAGTGAAAATCATCAGTTTTCATTTCTAGCGTTTAAGGGCGGCCACCCTTTGGCGTTTGAACGCGGGGCTCATTTTTGAATTGCAAATGCGGACCCACAGTGCATTCCTCACATGTTCACCGGCCCGAAATGGCGGAACGGGGGGGTCTTGGCCACATCGCATGCCAGTCGAATACTGCAGCTTTGTAATGTCCTGCTGTTAGCGCCAGTTGCCCATTTGTGTTTCTCTGCCTTTCCATCGTTGTGATTTCGAGGTAATTAAAAACCAGAGGATTTGTGTGCGAGTGATTTCAATTGGTTTTAAGGCGTGCACTACCAATTGCTGCTCTTAAAGCTTAGCTGATAACTCTGATAATATGTTTTTGCCTCTATATGCGTCTTCATATCACATCCATTGCAACTTGATATGCATTTTGATGGCTGATTACAATCCTAGGATATCCCAACTTCGTTTCTTTTAATTTTACCTAACTAATTCCCTATTTTTTCTTGAGCGAACTCACATTGTGGCTAACTGGGGTGACTTTCTTAGCCCAGCTCGACAATTAAAACTTAATTAAAATTGCATGCACTTTAACCTTCGCCCTGAACTTCTATTGCTTTTAATTACAATATATTTATATGCACTTAACACGAATTTCACGCCCATTTGCTCAAATGAGACATTAAATGGAGGCAAAGTGTTATTAGTTGGGGCCTTAGAGGTCGTTTGATTTTAAGCTTGAATCGATTTTGGTTAAATTATTGGACGTCTTTAAGGCATAAATCCGACAAGGTTGTGATCTTAACTATGTTTTTAAATTTGGTGATGGCGGGAACTAATATAACGTTAACAGCCAGTTAGCAGAAACCTGTTAACGGATCAGAAGTACGCGAAAGCGATTTCTATAGTTTTGTTACCTCGCAAGGTTTGTTGATGTAAATGACGCTATTATCAATGATCGACTGAATTAAGATTGACAAAAATTTCGTTTAATACGATTAACATGACGTAAGCTGACTACGTAATTGATCGAAGATAAATATAGCGCAACGTATCGTATAAAATGGCCAGATTTGGCGGGAAAAACGCAAAAGTGACAGACCTGCGAACTCAAAGAAGAAGAAGAAGAGAACATCTGTCCGGTAACTGCCAAAAACAATAATAAACAAGAAATAGTGAATAAATATAAATTAAGTGGACTAAAGTAGAGTGATTATTTAACTCCCACCTCACCTTGAAAAATTAGGAATACTGCACAGCAACTAATTTTCTGGTTTTCATGCGTGTGCAAGCAGCAGCTACAAAAACACCAGAAGCCCGGTGAATATAAAAGTAATTCCCGCGGTAAAGCCAATCCTCAGTTTTACATGAGCTGCCGAGGGCAAAAGTACGTTTTTGGGAGCCCAGGCCGCTCCATTGGAGGCCATCGAGGAGTCGGAATCACGGATTTGCAGACACATTTCTGGCGTGACTGCGGCGCATTAAATCACCGGGAAATTCACGGCGACGAACAAAAACCGGAAGTGCAGCGCGAAACGAGCAACTGGTGGTCACCGAAATGGAGGTGTACGCCTGGGTAGGAACTACACCATGTGGCCCTTTAAAATTTAAGGGACAACTTCGGACACCGAAGATATGATACCCTTGCAGAAAAAGCAAAATAAAATTTTCCGATTTGATAACACCATAAGATACAATAAGATTTGTAAGCAAAAACATATTAACTATTTTTTTTAACTATGAAAATGATTTGTCCGAAACCTACTTATTTTCACTCAGGAAATGTATTAGAAAGAGAATTTAAAGTGTACAATCTTTAACCACCGACTTTTAACTCCTGTCTAAAGGTATATTGCCTTCTGCGAAAGAGTAAACCAAACAAAAAACAGAGACATCGCCAGAGGGCATTTGCATTGCAAATTAATGAGTGATTTCCTTCGCTTGGGTTTTCGCCCTTTTTTCCGCCTTGTCTTAGGGTGCCAATTCTCACGGCCAGCTCGGCCTTGGCTTTGAGTCCGAATTGTGCATGACACCGCAGCGGGTGAAGAACTGCTCCTTCGCCGCCGCCCAAGTTCGCTTCATTCGCGGTGGAGGCGGCCACGTCCTTATCCTCGACACCAACGGAAGGGTTCACGCCTGCGGATGGAACAACCGTGGTCAACTGGGACTGGATTCTTCGGAGGAGTGCCACAACGAGTTCCAGATGATACCCGGCGAATACTTCGGGGTGAGCCATCTATGATGTATTGTTATAGATCTTAAAAAGAAAATATATCACAATTCCAAGATGTATTGTTATAGATCTTAAAAAGAAAATCTCTCACAATTCCAGGACGTGCCTGTGGAGACCATCAGCTGTGGCTGGGACATTTCCGGAGCCATTACCGTAACCAAACGCTTGTTCGTCTGGGGCTCCAATGCTTTCCAGCAGCTGGGAATTTGCCAGCGCGGCTTTATAGCCGTGAGAAAACCCATGCCAGTGAAACTTCCGCGGGAAGAGTTCGCCCACAGGATAAGCTTTGGCCTGCGCCACTGTGCCGTTCTCACGAAGGACAACAAGATCTACGTCTTCGGTCGACTCAGGATCATGGATCCACCGCCCATCGAACTGGACATCACGGCGACCTGCCTACATCGCTGCAATACGGTCAAGATACAGCCCCATAATCCGAACGAACTGCGGATAGTTTCCATTTCGAGTGGTCAGAACCACATGTTGTTGAAGTGCGTGGATCACAGCGAAGCGGGTGGCGGCAGCACCAAGAGAATCCTCACACTTGGAGACAACAAGTTCGGGCAGTCGAACGCCTTTCAGTTCGAGGAGGACGTACGACAATTGGCTGTGGGCTGGACCCACAATGCAGCGGTGCTGAAGAGCAACACGATTCTAGTGTGGGGTCGTAATTGCTATGGTCAATTGGGAATGGGTTCATTCAGCGAACAGCAGGCTATACCAACACCGCTTTGCCTTAAGCTTCCAGAGGATCAGAGTCCGGCCAGGATTCACATGGGAGCTGAGCACGGGTTACTGAGGACTACGGCCGGAGATGTTTACACCTGGGGTTGGAACGAGCATGGAAACTGCGGCAATAACAGCACCGAAAATTTGTAAGAATGGAAGTAATGCAGAAATATGAAATCAAAACAACCTTATTCTATTTTTAGATGCACCCCAACCCTTTTGGAATTGCCCCCAATTAAATTGTGCGGCGCTGGAGCGGGATTTTGTTATGCGATTACAGAGCCAATTAACTAACTTTTATGTGATTAACATTTGCGCTTGCGCTTTCTGTACTTTTAGCTTAGCTTAGATTTACATTTGTGTACAGCTTTGTTAAATATTTTTAAATAAATATAACTTTTGAACATAATTAACGTAAATATTAAACATTAAAGGAGTTAGGATACTCTATACTTCGAACAGCTGAAAATAATGTGGTTTTGCGTTTTTTGCTGAAACGGTCACACCCAGGACAAGCTTTTTGACATTTGAACTCGAACTGTTTCCAGAAAGTCAGGAGTGAAAAGTGCTGTTAGTAATTGCTTAACTAGTCGTTTGTTTTCTACCGAGTTTTAAAGAGTTTTCAAGTAATCTCATTAACTCTTCATTTTGCCAAAACCAATTACTTAAAAAAAATAAAGCAGCTTCACAGTACGCACAGCGTTGCACAAATTGGTATCGATATCGTTTGCTACCTGGCAGCACTGAGCTTGACGCATGCAAATTGAAATAAATGTTTACTTGAAATTCGAGCCCGAAATTATTTAGTTATAAACAGAACGGAAAGTGGAGTGCGAATTGTTTGGGTTCGTAGTCGATTACTGCTTCTCCGTCCAGAAGCATTCGTTTTCTTCCATTCGGACAGTCCGGAAAGGTTTAAAATTTGGAAAATTTTAATTTGATAATTTTGTTAGCAAATTCTTTAAAACCTAATTGTTTTTAAATTAAAACCGTAAGATGTCAGAGTCTGAGATCCAAATTGTTTCCGATGAACTCGATGCGAACGAGACTGCGGCTGCCACTCAAGGTAAAAAGTCTTTAAAAACTCAAGGCCTAAATGCAAAGCACTACCTAACCTCATTACAGTCAATGTGTCCAGTCATCTGGCCAAGAAAATCTGGGCTGTAACCCCAAATGATGTTAGCATGGGGCTCGTGAAGGCTCCCGAGCCTTCTGATCCCCATTTTGGAACATTCTTTGGCTTAGTATCAGGAATCGGATGTGAAAACAAGGAAACAGCGACGAATGATAATGCCTTTACTTATGTCAGTGAGGTGGAACGTGCTCTCTATGGGGATCCCACTGGCTATCCGGAAAATGGGAGTCATAATTACTTCAAGGCTGCCGAGAACTACTCGTTGTTTGGGGAAAACTTTCTCGACTTTTCTAAGGACACGGCTAGCTGCCTTACGGGCCTGGAACCGATGGTTAGTTTATGCTCCAATTAATCATCGAAATTTTAATAGTTTGCGGGGATCAATATTTATTTGTTTTTCATTTGTATAATTTTTTAGGGTGGCTATCAGCAACCACAGAGAGAGCCACATCAGCAGCAACAACATCGTCCACCTAACACCGACAACAATATCAATCAAAACATGAACAACAACCACAGCCACATCAACAATAATATCAACAATAATATCAACAATAGTAGCAACAACAGCCAAATGAACAATAACAACCACAACAACAACAACAATCGCAACTCGGTGAAAAACTTTAATGAGATTCCGTTCCCTCAGTTTTACAAACAGATGCACTACCAACAACAGCCGCAACCTCAGCTAAATCCATCGCATAATCAGAACCACATCCACTTGCCCCAAAAGCCGCAGCACGGGGCACCACCCCCGCAGCAACAGCAGCACCAGCAACATCAGCAGCAGCAGCAGCAACATCGCTTAGGAGCAACACCAAGTGTCGGTGATTTGGTAGGACTGGGAGGTCAATTCAATCCCAAAGACTTGGCTTTATCGCAGCTCTGCCAGCAATTCATGGCTTGCAACCTGCGGCCCAATCAGCAGCACCACCAGCAACATCCGCAGCAGCAACATCCGCAGCAGAAGCTGTATCCGCAGCAGCAACAGGCTTACCAACAGCAACACCAGACACCAACTAGCGCCGCTGCAGCTGCTGCAATGCTCTACAAGAATCTGGACTTGCAGCAGCAGGTTCAGTTGATCCAGTTGCAACAGTTGCACCAACAGCAGCAGCAGCAACAACAACAATCGCGCTTTCCTCGCCCCATTTTTGGGCGCAACTTTGGACAACCAACTCCACCAACAGGCAACGAATCTGCCGGGACTCACAAATAAACACCGAATCCAAAATCTCTGAATCAAGGGGTTAAAAACAAAGGTCAGAATCAGAAATGTTCCCATTTGACTGAAATTTAAAATCAAGTTAACATTTAAATGTATAATTTCAATCACTTCCATTTGCTTTATTTTTGCTTGCGATTTTTACACTTAATACGCAACTAACAACAAGTGATCGATAATAAAATAATAATTCATGGTAGTTTAAAGAGATTGGATAAACATACATTCCAGTTATACAAAACTAATAGTAGCATTAACTTACTAAACAAAATTAATGTCAAGAAACTAAAATACGTTGCTTTCTTCAAAAAATCTGTAAACATGTAAATCAATTTTTTAAAGAAGTGCCAAATATATTGCGAAGCCATTAAACAGCCGGTGCTATACCAATTCTTTTCCTGCCCCAGTCGAACTCCACGTAGTTCTCCCTGAGGAAGACGTCTCCGATTATCCAGTAGGTGAGGCCCCGCATGTCCATGAAACCGGAGAAGCAAAAGTCCTGATACACCATAACATACGTCTGTGGCTTTACGTAAAACTCCTTGCCAGCTATGGAGAAAACTATGATCGGAAGATGGGGGATGGATGCACAGTCAACTATATACAGGTCGTAGGTCTCGTCATGCTTGGCTCCGATGGCGGAGTTTATAAAGAGAACATCTGGGACGGGACCAACGATCAGTGAGGTTCCCGTATCCATAATCGCCTTGCATCCCGACTCACAGCGCCTCGAGTTCTTGCCGTGCACCTCAATGAAATCCATTTTAAAGGTCCAATACTTGGCCTCGGTTAGGTTTGTGTATGTCAAAGGGCCGTAGTACAAACTGGAGTTGGAGCCACCAAGGATCATGGAGCCACCATCTGTGGAACCGCTTTTCAGGTGGAACGAGAATATGGGCTGCTCGACTAGATTCTGATCGATCATTTGCTGGAAAGGAGGCACGGACTCGGTCATCGAGAGTTCCTTAAAGGCAAAGCCAGCGATTCCATCGAAAACGGAGCAGGAGTCGGACACGTTGACCAGTCCGATGCCCTGGTTCTGAATCCTCAGGTCCCCGAAACTGACCTCATCGGAGGCCACAATTCCCTTCACGGAACCCGATCCATATGTGATGCTGAACGGAACTCCACTCGAACGAAACGCTTTGGACTTGGACTCGTGGAAGAACTTGTTGCCACACGTTTTGATGCAAAACCTGCAATGGGAACTGGGCACCCAGAAGTCCGACGATCCCGTGTCGAACTGCATCGTAAATTGTTGACCACCCGCCGAAACGATCCCGAAAAAGTTGGTGTCATAGGAATTGATCAGGTCCTCGTTCAACACTGCTCCCTTGCCAGAATCACTCGTTTGATTCATCACAGCATGAACATGCAATGTACGCAGGGGAGTGTATCCGTACTTTCTTCTCAGGGAATTCCGGAACTGGAGGTGCAGGTGGGCATGGGGAACTTTCCTATGCCGGTGTGATCGCCTTCCCAGGTGAAATCGGTGAACTTTACAAACAGCAAACACGATCAAGCAGAAAAATAGGATAACCACACGTAGATTCATGGCGAATCACTAGTCTAGTTCCTCGTCAGTTTGAACGCTTTTATAGCTTCGCTTTGTGGAATTTATCTTTTTCACTATTCGCTTAAATCCACACGTAAAGTGGGTTGTCATTTAAAACACGAGACTTGCACTGGAATATGTGATATATGGTAAAAATAAATTGATACGCAAATGCAAACTAACTGCGAGTAGCTGTATTTTTTAAAGAGGGAATATTTATTTATGAGAAAAATACAGTAGAGAAATTATTATTTTGAGTACAATGTTTTTCTTAATAGATTTATAAGTAAATGCAATCCTCAGTGAACTGCTGGTGCGATTCCAATAAGTTTGTGGACAATGTCGTAAACCGTGTAGTAAGCTCCCAGGAAGATTTCGCCGAGAATCAACAAGGAGTTGCCCTTCAATCCGGTAAAGCCGGAAACACAAGTGTCTCCGTACCGAAGGACGTACTCGGTTGGCTTCATGCGGAAGTCTTTGCGGGCAATGGTGAAGACAATATCCGGAAACTCACTGATCCTTGAGCAGTTCACCAAAAACACGGTGGTCGAAGCATTTGGGTTGAGAACACCCAGCATTTCGTTGATGATTGTCAAGTTTTGCTCGGGAACAACTATCAGTGAGGTGCCCACGTCGAGAATTGTCTCGCAATCTTCACAAAACTCAAAGTCACCCAACTTTGCACTTTCCATTGTGAACTGCCAGTAGCCTGGAGTTGAAACGGGCACGTAGGTCAAACATCCACTATAGAGACTCGAATCGGTGCCTCCCAAAATCAGCTCACCGCCATTTATGGCGTTCGACCCGTTTCTGTTCAAATAAATCGAGAACACCGCCTTCTTTATAAGGTTTTGTGCCACTAAATTGTAGAAGGGTGGGGTGATGCCATCGATGGCAATGCTGGAAAAGCCCAAGCCCAAAATTCCAACGAAATCGGACTTGAGAAATGCGGCATCTGGTGCATCGGTGATCTCGGCAAAGATCTGATTTTTGATGGTATATCCAGCAATGTTTACTGTATCCTGCGATTGAAATCCGGAAAGTGCAATAAAGCCCGCTTTCGAATCGGAGCCGTAGGCAATGCTAAACGAAGTATTTATTGCCTTATAGGTTGTGGAAGCACTCGAATCGTACTTTGTGTGATTTGCACAGGACTTGACCGAATCTGGACACTTACTGGAGAGCACCCACAGATTCGCAGATCCCGTGTCGATCAGCACCTTCAGAACCTGCGGGGGCTTTCCAAACTTCAGAGTGGCGTAATACTCCGTGTTGTAGAGGTTTCCCAGTTTGGAGACCCTCGTTCCAGCTTCCTTGGTTTTCTTCTTCGATGAGGTCACTGTTTTCGTATCACTGACATTTAACTTCTGCTTAATGGCCAAGGTCTTAAGTTCGTTGTGTATGTTCTCTTCAATGGACTCTGGATTTTTATGCAATCCAATTTTAAGGCGCTTGCGGGACTCCACTTTAAAGACAATTAGTGTTAGCACTGCCAGCCAGAACAGCATCAACCTGAAAGACTTGCACTTGACCTTCATGGTCGGAGTTTTTGGTTTGCAAATTTGGGCCTACTTGGTCACGTATTTATAGCTCTTCAGCTTGACTCGAAATTTTTCTGAGAGATAGCGAAAGCTCTGCAGCTGAGGTCGATCGTTCGCACCATTTAGCCGAGAATTTCACACACGATTAACTAAAGCATTCTTCAGTTCGAGCATTTTTGAGAGTGTCAACAATCGTGGTATAGAGCGGTTTTCAAACATCTTCTATTAACCAAACCCATAACTCTAAATATTTACTATAGACTCCAGAACTTTACTAATATTTAGCCGATTTCAAAGTGACTTACCTCATTACGTTTGTTATTTCATTCCTATAAAATCTATATGAATCTAAATCTCATGCTTGATCTTTCACCAAATGAATGATATTTTCTGCAAAGTTTGCAAGTTCATTAATCAAGAGAGATATATTTTTTTTTTGGTATTATGTATGCTTCTTTAAACTAAACATTTAACAGAGCGTTCGTTCGTTGAGGGTTCAAGCCAGGTTGGCGAAGCCCACGCGGTTCTGGCCAAAGTCGAACTCGGTATAGTACTGGCCCAGGAAGACGTCGCCGAGGATCCAGAAGTCAGTGCCGATGTAGGTGAAGGTGGACATGCAGGTGGTGTAGTTGCCCTCGGTGTAGGTCTGGATGTAGACCGAGGGAGGCAAGTCGAAGTTGGCGCCGGCGATGTTGAAGGTGAGCACGGGCAGGGAGCTCACGGTGGAGCAGGGCACGTAGTAGTCTCCCTCGATGAGGGTGGCGCCAATCAGGGAGTTAACCAGTTGGTAGGCAGCCGGGGGACAGGCGATCAGGGAGGTTCCCGTGTCGGCGATTGCCTGGCAGCCATCGCAGACGACGGTTCCGTTCCAGGTGATGTTGTTCACTCCGAACTGCCAGTAGCCCTCCTGCACAACCGGGGTGTAGGTCATCTCGCCGTCGATCAAGTCCAGATCGGTTCCGCCCAGCGCCAGTTGGCCGCCCTCCTCCGAGGAGCCGTTCCTGGCCAAGTAGAACCCAAAGACGGGCTCATCGATGAGGCCCTGCTCGTAGAGGTTGTAGAACGGCGGCACCACGTTGTCCTCGGCGATCTGCTGGTAGCCCATGCCCAGAATGCCATCGAAGGCCACGTCGGTGAAGCTGCTGCCAGGCTGGGAAACCGCCTCCCCGAAGGTCTGATTGGCAATGGCCAAGCCATTGATGGTAACAGTATCTATGGCCAGGTAACCGGTGACACTGCCCGTTCCGTACTGGATGGAGAAGTTCTGGCCACTGGCCACGTAGGTGGAGGAGGCACTGGCGTTGTACTGGTTGTGCTGCTGGCAGGCGACATCGGTGGAGAGGCACTGGGCCGAGGGGATCCACAGGTTGGCGGAACCCGTGTCGAAGACCACGTTGAAGTACTGCGGCGGAGTGCCGATGCTGATCTCGCCGTAGTAGTACATGTTCATCGAGTTGCCCAGCTCCTCGGAGGTGTAGTCGTCCGAGTTCTGGCTGGGATAGTCGTATCCGTAATCGGGCTGCACATAAACCGGAACTCCATCGTCGTAGATTATGAGATCGTCGGTTATGTGGTACTTGAGTTTCAGGGCCTGGATCGCCTGCTTGCGACTGTGGCGGGTGTTCTTGTGATCCCTGTTCTTGTGGATCTTTATCCGCTGGATCTCAGCACTGACCAAGGCCAGGATGGTCAGCAAGACCAGATACTTGAACATTTTGATACTATTTTTAAACTTTTCCTACCAGAAGGTATAGTGTTCTGCCCTCTTTACTGTCTGGGGCTAGACTGAAGAAAAAACACTGGCGCACTGATATTTATATGGTCGGTGATAAGTCCAAAATGGATCACTAATCGATGTAGTCGAAGTTATCAGATTGATCGATAGTCCTTATCGATCTTGGCCTTTGTTTACACAAGTTGGTGCCGTGCATAAAATGAGACACAGAGCAATTGAAGTCAGCCACTGGGATTTTAGATAAACTTCCAGGTATATTGGCGAACTGAATGAAAAGTCTTGATTGCATATTTCTCACCTTATTGATAACAAACTCGAGTTTGTTGTAAACAAACTGTTTGGCTGTGGAAAATTTTGTTTTGATAATTTCATTTATCTATTTTTACCAAGGTGTTTAGGAAAACTAATTGATACTTTTTTGAAATAACTATATTTTTACCTCGCTCATTATGTTAACCCTCAACCATTCTATTTATTTTGCAGAAAAAACTAAACCCATATTTTTTATTAAGCTTTGGGAGCAATGCCTATAAGCTTGAGGCCGAAATCGAAGAGCAAGTAGAATGCTCCGAAGAACACGTCCCCGAGAATCCAGATATCGTTCAAGTTGTCGCCGAAATCGTCGGTGTCTCCGCTGCAGTCGTCGAGACTCGCGAACCCAGAAACGCAGGTTCCACTGTAGTTGAGGACGTAGTCCGACGGAGTGAGAGTGAAGTCCTTCCATCCGATATTGAGGACAACGTCCGGCAGACTCGACACCTTATTGCAATCGATGATGTAAACGCCATTTTGCTTATCTGTGCTCTTGAGTCCCAATTGCTTGTTTATGATTTGGAGAGCCGGACAAGGGACAATGATCAAAGAGGTTCCCACATCCAGGATTGCCTGGCAGTTGGTGCACAGTTTCTTGCTGCCAATGTTGATTTTGGGAACGTTGATCTGCCAAAAGCCCACTTTGGATAGGGGAACGTAGGTCAGACAACCCGAGTAGAGAGTGGGATCCGATCCACCAAGCAACAACACTCCCCCATTTCCCGCATCCGAGGCATTTCTGTTGACGTAGAAGGCGAAGATTGGATTGTTAAGGACTCCTTGAGCTATCATATTATCCAAGGGAGTCGGCACTCCATCGATCGCAATCTCAGAGAGTCCCAGTCCGAGGATCCCATCGAAATTGGAGCGATTGCACAAGACTTGCGGTGCTGATTCAATTTCAGCGAATGTCTGATTTGTAACGGACAGATCGGCTAAGGTTAAAGTATCCGTGGAGAGGAATCCGGTCAGAGTATCCGTCGATGCGTACTTAATCTGAAAGGGCGTTCCGATGCCCTGGTATGTGGTGGACAGACTGGAATTGTAGCCATTGTGATTTTTGCAAGAGTTCTTTGTGAAATTGGTGGAGTAAGCCAGCAGGTTTGCGGATGCCGTGTCCACGAGAAGGGTAACCTGCTGAGTCAGAGGGGTTCCGAAATACGCTTTTACGTAGTACTCCGTGTTGTGGGAATTGAGTAGGTTTGCTATCGCCTGGTTGGGATTGGTTACAGCAAACGCGGAAGGGTTCAGTTTCTCCTTGAGTCTCTGTTTCTGGCCGTTGAAGCTGTGGAGTGTTTTGGTGTGGTTCCTTTCCCTGTGCAGGCTCAAGTGCACCGCCTTCCGCCATCTTTTCGATCTTCTCGACTCCACAAAACTGTTGGTTAGGCACAGAATTAGCACTAAGGTCAGCACCAGTCCGGGTTTCTTCAGAGACTGCATCGTTTGTCGCCGTCACTTAGCCCTAAATCTGCGAAGAGGTCACGTATTTATGGAAAACTAACCGAAAATTCCATTAGTATCAGCTGTATATTAGGGTCAGCTGAAACTATTCTCGCACTATTGCAATGGTATTAGGCAAAGTAAATAGAAGAGGTTCAGCACGTGGCAGGAAGTATGTTTATTTTTAATTACGTGAAGTTATTCACTGAATTCAAATAACTTAAAATATACATATTGAAATTGTAGTAAATACATATAAATTATAATTGTATTCATTTATTTAATTCGTTTACTGATAATATAAACAGAACATTTGTAATTGTATCATTTGAATATTGAGGCAACAGAATTTTTTAAATATTTGAAATACTTTTGTTTGGCCGTAATAAGTGCCGCCATCTAGGCGGACAACAGAAGAACTGCTTGTTCCATACATAAACATGTAGAAAGACTTCTGTAAAATTCCGCTGGCAAACGAAATGTTCGTACCACTAGTTGAACGGATAAACGTTTTTTATCCGACAGCGCCACTTGTTATATACCTGAGTGAATATATCCAATATATTTCTTGGATTGAAATGAAGATAAGATAAAATGTTAAGACCTCGTGAATAAGTTAAATAAAAAATTTACAGTTCTCAAGACCCAAATTATAGCTATAAATAAATATTTTTAATATTTTACCTTAACTTTAGAGTTAAACTTAAACCATTATAATTAATTTCCCATTTAATTTAATCAATAAGTTCAATGGCCAAAACAAAAAGTTTTCCATCTGAAAAGTATTCATTTTCTCCAGCCTTTAGTTGACTTTCGAGTTGACCCAAGCCCAAAGAAAACTGGCGGTTCAATCCTTTTCCTTGGGCCAATAATGAATGCAAACGAAAGTGATTGCAAAAGTTTCTAAAGGCGCCCGACCGACCAAACCACGCCTCATTTACCCACCGAAAATAAGCCAAGTTTTATTTGCTAATTGCAGCAAAAGTGTAGCTGAAGTAAGGGGAGAACTTCCAATTCAATTGAAGTTATTCTTGCCATCCTCTACTATTTCACAATAAAACAGCCCTTGGCGACGAAATCGTTTACCAAATCTTTGGACAGTTGAAAAAAGATATTGTTTAGGAATCTTTTTTCCCCTCGATTTTATGTACAAAATTGTACACTTCTCCTGCTCTTCAGATTTTAAACTATTGAAGTAAATGTAATACCCCAACCTAGTGTGTAGGAAAAACTGTCGCTTCGGTTTTTGGGGGTAGAAGTTGGCTATCAGCGTTTTTCCGCAAATTTCTTTACAAGTTTTTCCGCCATCCGACTGAGAGTTTCGGAGTGTGAGGAGTTGAGGGTGCGGGGACCGATGTTGTAATTGAATTTGCGTCAAGTTCTATTAAGTGGCGTAAACTTTTGGCCTCTGGAATTGAACTTAGCTCACCGCATGTGCATTTTTCATATGTTTATCGCACAGTTAAGATGTATTTTCCGTTCCTTCGTTCGGTTCGATTCCGTTCGACGACAAGTTTTGCCCGGGGAAAGCTGGGAAAAGTGAAAAGAAAAGAAAGGAAAACCAAGATAAGTCTGCGCTGTCAGTCACAGGGGTAGCATATGTGCGGTTATCAATGAAGCATTAAATTGTTTTTGGCATTTTACAGTGGCATCGACCAACAATGGCATCTCATCAGGCAAACCCCTACTTTTCATTTAGGACCCTTGTAAATCACATGAAAATCAGGCCCAGTCCATCACCATCCACCATCACCATTATAATCAACTAAACTAAACTGATTTCGTATGCAGGACGACCCGTTAGTCCTTTCTAAGTGGGATCCTTTTTGCAGGTTTAATTTAGCATAGCAAATTTATGCATTTTATTTCGGCAAATGCATTACATTTTTAATGGTTGGCGTTCTGTTTAAAACTTTGGGAATGGGTGAGGGTTTTTTATCCCCGACATGGTATTGGGGTCACAGCTGCTTCCTCGCTGCGTGTTTTGACATCAAATATTAAGATTGTCTGCGACAGCTGGTGACATCTTCTTTGCGCAGACTTTTTTATGCCACACTTGCCATTTTTTGGCATCACTTTTATCACTTATCACCCTCTTGAAAAAATGAAAAAAGTGTATCAGAAAAAGGCTCCAAAATGTTCTAGATCTGCAAGTTTCACAACAAACAATATATACAGTTTCAAAGGAAAAATGCAAAAAGCAGAAACATTTATCTCCAGGCTAATGGTTCGTTTACATAAGGTTGAAGTTGTTATCTATTAATTAATTAATTGTGAAGAACAATAGTGAAATTCTTTGTATCTCTTTATCAACATACACAAACCGAATTTTCCACACGTTGATAAAAAGCCAATTGTCAGATTTCGATTCCACTCAATTCTCAGTCCAATTAAACGATTTACCCAAAGGCGGAATATGTTCATGCAAAACAATTTATCAACTTGTCAACATATTATATGAGACTGGGTTAAAGACTTGGCTTGTGATTCGATCCCTGGCAAACTCTGCCCCAAACTCCCCTTCATCCCCCTTTAATCCATCCCCTTCAATCCGTCAATTGAATGACGAAACTCCAATAATATGCCAACTGCCAATATTGCGTATACGTAGTGTTGTGCGTCCATTGTTCCCGAAGCGAAATGTTTTGGTAGCTGGGATTTGTTTAGCAGTAAGCGGAAATAGTTGTAGGCCAAAAGGGCAGGGAAGGGGGAGTCCGAACCAGGAGCATGTTGTGTATGTTGTTGAAGTTTATATGCAGGATAAACTGTTCAGCCAACTGACGTACACAGCATGTCCAGATTGGAGCAGACAGGAAAGGGGGACGAGGCCCAGTCTGCCATAAAAGCAAATAACTGTCGTGTGTGTGCACTTGGCTGTATGTTTTAGTTAACTGAACTATAGTTGTAGTGTCTGCGCTCGGACACACGCAAATACACACCCCCTCCTATAGAGACATATATATATATATCTAATATGTTTGTCCATCAATTGTCCCGTCCGAACTGAGCTCGAATCCAGTGCAAACATGCTGAAATCCAAATCCTTGCCTCCTCCTCCTCCTCCGCCTCCTCTGCGGTCGGAGGTCAAGTCAACATTTCCGTTCCGATTCAGTTAATAAATATTTTTTATGCCACATCAACGGGCAGAGTAAATATGCCGTAAAAAAGACGTCATCACAATGCATGATAAATATATTTCAAAGTGATCTTTGTTTGACTGTGGGTTATGGCTTTTGCAGCTGTTGCACTTCTCCCGAGTTGTCTGAGGTTTTTCCCTGTGTTTATTTGCTTATTTGTGGCCCTTGCCTTGGCCACAGCCAAGTTATCGTCGCAGCCAAGTTATGTTCATTGTTTTCGTTATGGGAGGCCTCGGCAGTGGCCAATATTGTGGATAAACATGGCCAGCTCTGAATGGAAATAGGAATTAATTGCCTTGCACGGTGACTACAGAGTGCAGTTCAAATCAGGGAACACAGAATTCAAACCAAAGCCCTAAATGTCTCTAAAAGTCAGTTGTTTAAATTCATAGAATGCCCCTCTAAACTATTTGGGTCAATTTAACGCCTGATGAGAAAAGTTCTCAAATTGGCCACATTGGCATTGCCTATTCCGCCAACCACGCCCTTCAAATTAAATTGAGAGGCCAAAAGCCGAAACCAGTCCAATCGGAAACTCCCAAGAGTGAAACAACTCAGGCAACGGTGACCCCCAACTCCTCGGTTATCCCCAAAATGGAAATGCCACCAGAAAATCTTGGAACACATGTTCGCCAAAGGTGGGAGTGCCACGCCTCCGTACAAGGATTTTCCGAGGCTCAAAGTGGGAGGGAGCCATCTATTAAGGTTTGACATTAGCATGAAAAACGCATTTTTCTTCAAACGCAAACAATGAGGAAAAGTCTGGGATGGAAAATGGTGAAAGCAGAGGGAAAAGGGAAAACGTTTTAAATAACTTTTCGGCAAAGTTTCCATTCTTATAAAGGTGACAAAGGCATTCCGATCCCCAGTATTCGATATCGTTACGATTCTGATTGAATCAAATTGTTAGAATTTATTTCTCTCCCTCGCCGCCATGCGAAAAAAAGTTTATTGTATTTTTCTTTTGGCATATTTATGCAATTGAATTGTTTACATTGAAATAACAATTTCGAAGGGTTCAAAAGTTTGGGAGTTTCTCCATGTGCCACTGGCAGCTTAAAAGCTTTTTCAGACCATCAATTTTCCGGAGTTTGTTGACATTCAAAAGTCAATGGACATTGATGAATTCGAGTTCATGGAAGCTAAGTTTTGGTTGGCAAATTGTGACATATAGGAGCGTAAAATACTTTCGGAGATTTTCGAGATCAGCAGGTGAATGGTTGAGCTTAAAAATCCAGAGAAATAAATTAGTTAAGTGCACTTCAAATTCTGATTCCGTCTTCGATTGCTTAACATTTGCAGACTTAGAAAACGCTTCTGCTGACTACTGATAAGCGAAAATCAAAGCTTAACCCACAGACTTAGCCAAACACACACGAAATCCTTATCAAATCCAAGCCAAGAACAAAGGCCAGAATGATGCAAAAACTTTGCCATGTCTCAGACTGATAGAAACTTTTAGCCGGCAACTCGCTTTTGGCCCATTGACAAAAGTTGACATATGCAAAAATGAAGAAAATGAGAGCCAAAAAATGTATATATACAAATTATCAGCACATTTATCTGGGGGGAAAAGGCTGGCAAGTGAGAAAATGATGCTGGAATGAAAAGTTTTGATTTATTTTTAAGCGCAAAGTTTTGGGGCTGTCACAAAGATTTTTGACAAGGGTGTGCACCACGGAGACTCCCAAAAGAAACGGACTGAAATCGAAGCAGAAAATGCTAAATCAAATCGCACAGACGGATGAGCCTTCCCCCAGGAGAAACAATGATCCAAACGAAGCCAATGGAGGAAGGAGTGACGAGGGACTTTCCCGTTTAACTTTTACTTTTCCTTTTGCCCGGATTAAATCGGCTTAAGGC